AGTGCCCGAGCGGCGCGGCGCGCAAGTCAAAATGTATATTGTTAATAGGTAAAATAATACGCATTGCAATGTAATTACACCAAATAACTCCTCGGTATTTTGTCAAGGGATGTTTAAAGATTACTTTTAAACTTTAGTAACATCAAAAACTTGATTTTTTTGTTATTGTTTTTGAGTCTTGAAAATGGCCGTTTTTGCATTTTTTCGCACATTAAATTGTTTATAACTCAGAAACCGTTGATTTTAGGAGCATAGTGCATAGGAATTATTTTGTTTAGAATACCCCGAAATACCTAATAAAACTTTTTCCGGAGCAAAACAAGTTATTTTTGCAATTTGTTTAAAAAAAATTAGTTTAAAAAAATTGTGACCAGGTTACCGGCCGGTAACATTTTGATCCTCATTCCGGGACATCTCACGGAGGTGATTTTGCAAAAAATCGAATCCACTAATTTTTTCATACGAAGCTGCCGATTTCGCCTTGTCTAAAAGTAATTATATATAATCACTTTTAATTAATTTTATGATTCTGTAATTAAAGACTTCTAAATATACAGCAGAGTACTATGCTGGTTACTTTAAAAACAATATTTGAGACTCATTTAATTTTGTTTTGTACTGCCATAGAATTTTCCAATTATTATTAACTATTATTTTTTTGTTTGAAAAGTTAATGTTAGGTATTATATAATATTTAGTTTGAACATTAAAATATAACTAATAAACCAATTAGTTTTGATTGATTTACAATATTTTTGTCGCAAATTTTCTAAGGATGCGGTGCCCAAAATATTTTCTACATATACAGAGAGTTTTGAAAATAAGGTGCTATAAATTCATAGGTTAATGAAATATAAAAAAATAAGACAATATTTTCCTGTAGATCATGTGTCCAGTCTTTTTTTTTGAGACACTGAAATTAACTCAATTTTTTTGTACAAAACCAAAAAATATTTAAAACCCAATACAAAATTGTAGCGTTTTACTTTACAAATATTATTTTTCTTTTTAAAATGCTGCTTGAAAATAATAATAAGTAAATGACATGCTCTTAAGGAAACGATTAAACAAGCTATTATTAATTTGGGCTGTTCATTTCATATTGAATAGAAGTTTTTGAGCCGAAAAAATAGCATTTCGTTTTTGAAAAATATTTTTTCAACAATTTTTGATAGACAGGTCGAGTGAATATGGTCATGGATGTAGCACTTTGTTATATCTCACACATACTTACTCCATGTCTGTAGCTAAGTTATCAAAAATAGCTGGATTATTCATCATCACCTGCAGCATACTGAGGAGAACAAATAAATTCAAATGTCTGGTGGTCCTGCTGATGAATGATCTTAGCCGTTTGCTAGATAATATGGATATAATTCAATGCTGATCGGGGCATTAGTCCGCAGAGTTGTTTCTTGCAGTATCAGTTAAAAATTGAAAAAAGCAAATTTCATTACAAAATGTACTATTTTTGGCTGTTGCAGAAATACATTTTTTGTCTACAACTATGTTATTAACTAAAATTAATTTCTATTTAATTAAAATCTAGTCGCTTCAGTCGCTTCCATAGGAAGATATGCATTCTTTTCAAAAAGCATTTTCTCTATTATTACATTCAACCATAGAAAATTTGACATTTGCTATGTGAAATGTTATTTTAGTATTTTAAATATTTTAAGGTTTATATAAATAACATTCCACTGAAAATCAATTAATAATGATGATAATTATGAAATGATGTTGGTATACTGTTTTATTTGAAAAAATAATAAATTTGATAAATTCTCTCTGAAAATACTTTATTTCTAGAACAAAAAAATCACTACCTACCCTATGAACTGAGCTGTGGCAGAATTCTTATTAAATGAGGAAAAATTAATGCCTTATAGGGATTGTTTCGATTCTTTTAACAAACAAAAACTTTTAGAAAATGTGCCTTTATAGATACAAAAGAGATTGATTTTAAATAAAACTTTAACATCCCATCCCGTATCTCAAAATATAAATAATTTTTTTAAATAGTATATCATAACAAACTTATTTTTTTATAATCTACCTGTGCCTCAAGAGAGTTTAAAAAATTTAACCATCCTTTACAATAATAATTCGTACTTACAAAAGAAAAAGAGCTACCCCGCTCTCTGTCGGTTTCTGTCTTGGTCCAGCCCAGGAGCTCTTGATAAGGTAACGATCTCTAGAAGTCAGCCCTGTCACAGGATCCGGATCGTCTGTCCTGCCTTGTGTTCCGTATCCTAAATAACTCCACAGGACCCCCATTGCGCGCGAACTGATGTCTCGGTACAATATCGCTAAACAAATAAACTAAGTGACAGTTCTTATCATTTGATTAGAAGCTAATTTGATAACAAGTAGTAATTAAATTACTATTTTTCGTGGAAAGTTGTGCAATGTACCGTGTATATAAAAACCAGTGCGTATACTTCATTAGAAGCAAGACTAAATTGAACTGAATTTTGTGTTATTGCGGGATGTTTGGTTATAAGTATAAGGATTTTCAATAAAACGTAGTCATTTGAAATATTCCTTTAATATTAATTTGCTCTCAAGTGTGCAGGGTATTATAATAAGTATGAAGTGAGAAATATAATTTTTAATCTGAATTAGAATTCTAGATAAAAACTTCAAGCTTGGTGCAGTTTGATCCTCGTACAGTATTTAATTAAAAACGTGTCTCTTATAGTACTTAATTAGATGTAAAATTTAAACAAAATATAATCAATGTCGTCGGAATTAGGAAATGATGTCGAAGAAAATTTCATAGGTACTTTTGATAGATATTTTCTATTTCTTAGACGCTTTTCCTAAAACATTCACTATTCATGATCATCAGATACCACCAGTAGGGGATCAAACTCGAAAATAAGTACAGTTTTTTACTTAATGAATTAAGTGAATCATGACATTGTGATTGATCAATCAAACCAATTGTCTTTACCATATGTATATGAAGAACGCATTATAGACTAGGCGGTATCTGTTTTGGTTTGGGTGAATCGTATATCCACGGAGATTTTTGGCTTTTTGGCTTTCAAATATCACTAGAAATGAAGATTTTCTATGCGCATAAAAAAACGTGGGCTTAACTTTCGGCGGCACAATATGTTAAAAAAATTCGAAAAATGTCATATTTTTCTTGCTATTTAATTATGTATCTTTTCAAGAGTTGATTTTAGGCGAGAATGGAAGAGGAAAAAATGTTTGTAATTAAATTTTACAAAATATGACTAGTTACAAATCGAATGAATCATGATTATTATTGTAAAAATCGAAAAAATCGCCAAAAATGGGGTTAAAAAACATTACTTTTTTGGGATTTTTTTTTAGGACCTTCATACTTGGCTCAAGAAAAGTTCATGTTATGTAGAATCATCACACCAAATTTCATCAAAATCGGTTCGATAGATTTTGCATAATAATTTTGCAATCCAGATTTTGAAAAAAAAGAGCCAAAAATCTCCGTGGATATAGGATTCACCCAAATATGGACTCTTTGAAACAGATATCGCCTGGACTATTAATATCACAATCTATTTCCAATATCAATATACGGTATTTCTTATAGGTCTTTATATGTATTTCATAAAGGTGCAATTTGCTTTAAAAACCATTTCAATATGTCATTTGAACTAATTCAATAGAGAATCTTTGTAAATATTAAAGATGCATCTTGAAAGGTGTGGAGTATATATAAGTTTTTTTTCTTGTAATGCCGTATTATGCCATACGTTATGGACATTTTAATATTAGATTAATAGAACAATTTATCCCAGTTGGTAAAGTTGCACTAACACCAGTAATAATTTATTTCGTCGATTATTTCAATTTATTTTTATTAAATATTATCACTGCATATAGCTATCCAACATTTTACACTTAACTCATTTCAAGTACATTTAAAAAAATTTCGAAAATAAGATTAGAAGCATTTGACAGCCTTATAATTTATAAAATCATTCGCATTGCATTAATAAAGAATTTTGGGTGTATAAGTCTTGCCACTTTTTTGGGAGTGTTATCTACATATTATTATAGATTTATTCCAAGAGGATTTTATTTTAAATTGTTACAGATGTCGCAATTTTTTTTTATCCGTATAGGTGCACTACTCCTACCAGACATACAACCAAGCATTGTAAATATAAAAATAGGAACTTCCTCTTGTTGAATTCGAATAGAACTAAGTACTAAGAAATTAGTGTAAATTTATTAAAATTGAACATCTTTAATTGTGAATAAAAAGAAATTTCTGAATCTATTTGTCTGCGAATTTGGTGATTGACATTTGTCTAATTTCACGATTGGATTTCATAAACTAATTTATGTATAAATTGTCAATAGTAAAAAAAATATAAACATTTAGAGTGAGCTACCTTTGTTAAATGAAATTATCTGTATATTTTTATTTGTTTCGAGAGAACCTAGATAATAAATTTATCTGCAAAACAAACCAAAATAAGATGTTTTCTTTGTAAAAAAATCCCCCTTAGATTAATTTGATTGATTTGGACTGACAGAATATTATAGGCTGTAAAATGTCGATACAAATTTTTTTATATACCTTTATAGATCTAAAGTAAATCTCTTGAAAAAATCATTAAAATTCATTAAAAAATACTTACAAGACTGCTCAAATATAAACCTTTTAGAAGCTATATCTGTTTTATTTTGAGCTCATTATAAAAATAATCACCTCCACATTATTTTTACTATATGACACACAAATTTATTTTTTCATACTTAAATAAATGCTACATATTTTAATAGTAATTTGCACATTTGTGAGACCTCGGAGACTGAATGATTTAAAATTTCAATTGTTTTTGACGCAGATTGAAACAATGACGAATAATGATTACTATTTGCTCAGGAAATAAATCCGAAATCGTAAATAATTGAAATAGGTTTTCCATTTGTTATCTGTCGGTTTTTAAATGTTATAGTAGTAGTAAAATTATAACGCGCTATGGCTTAACCTGTATATACAATTATTCTTTTGAACGAATTCATGGAATAGGTACAGTTTATCAAATTTAGGAATAACTTCAGTAATTTTTGCATTTGATAAACAGTGGATATAATTGCGTCTGTTCTAGTTACGATATGGTTCACTAAATTTTCATAACAAATGCACGAAACAAATAAATTTAAGATTATTTCTAATTTATATTATGTCTCAATTGTAAATGTTATAATAATTTTATCGGTGTCCCATTTTCCCTATGTGTTATTTCGTATTTTCATTTACTGATGTAAAGTTATTACGTTTCACAAAAAATATGTAACACTTTATTTTGTGTTACTTTCATGCAAATATAATCGCATTACTTTATTATTGTTTTATTCATAGGTAACTGAAGTGTTGTTGATCACCAGAAATTGTACACTAACGAAGTTATCAAATTTCGCCTTCAACAATGAAATTTATGGATAACAGGAACTGGAGTATTGACTCACGTTCGAAACAATTTTTGTAATATAAACAATTTTCAAAGAAATTTTTAATATGTTTGAACCCCGAGTCACTTTTTTAAGAATTAAAGTCGTCGAAAGTCACCGAAATTAATTTTGGGTCGTAGGTACATCGGTAACATTATTCATACTACTTTGGATGAGCTATATCGTATAAAACATATTTTATTCAACGTTCTGACTGACTAAAAATTGTGTTTTGAATTTTTTAATGAAACTTTTATTTTTTCATTTCATTTTTATTAGTCGGCACAATTGGAACAATAAAGTAGCCTGTATGCACTCCAAACTTAACTCTATTTGATTTTTTATGAGGTAATCTACAAAAGCATAATTAGAAAATAGAAATTGACAATCCATTTATGTAACAAAATTAATATTAGTGGCGTATAGAAATATTTTATTAAAAGCGCGCCTTTGACACTGCGAAAAAGATACCAACTATCGCATGGATTTTAATTTTGATCATTTACTGTAATTTTTTAATCCTAAATATAACTATTAATTGTTACAGTTGCTAACGCTATATTATTTGAATAACACCCATATTATACGACTTTAATATTAGCTAGTTTTATATTAATTTAAAAGATATTAAGCTAATCAAATCAAATCTAAAAATTTTCCTAAAATTCGCACCAATATGCTAGGTATGCTAAAAGCTAATTTCAAAGCAAGCTAATTAACGACTAATTATATTGTAGGAAACAACTACTCTGCGGTCTAGCGCATTGTCCATAAATTAAATACACCCGCAATATATAATAAACATATTTATATCACCTATATGTATTAATTATCTCAAAAAACGATTCAACTTTCCCGAATCGTATTAATGAAAAAAAAAACAGCTAACATATTTAAATAATTTTATAACGTCACCTCTTTGACACATATATTCTCGGAATGAATGAATGAATGAATACACAATAGATAGATATGTGAATATTTGTGGATATTAAATAAAAGATTTACAAAAACAAATCATTAAATTTTCAAACGACAATGTCAAAAATGTGAAAGTCTGTTTAGATTAATATGGATTATTACATTCATTCACTCAAATTCAAATTCTAAATGATTTCACACCATTTACTAAGAATTCTTTTATTTTATGCTAATTTAGCAGGAACAATTTTTCGTTTAAAATTGATCAGCGACATTAAAAATGTCATGAAATTTCAAAAAACTCATAGGCGTAGAAATTCTATTTAAAAAAGGACACTGACTGCACGTCTACCACGCCACTGGTGGTTTTAGTGAATCGTTTGTAGGTCATTTTTAAAGGACATTCTGTTACCACTACACATACCCAATTTAGATTCGTTAGTACTTACTGATTTTTTTAGATATCACAAAAAAGTTAAATAAAAAAAATTATTCGATACCGTGTATCTCGGTTATAAAACGATTTAGGCCTATGTTCACATGAACTTTTTTATTCAAAATCAACTGTTAAAACGGGAACACCCTGTATATCCTGCTTGCCAAAGTTACTGTCATTGATTTTTTGTTTTTTAGATCGTAGCTGGGAATAATATCGGTTGTACCTTCTCAAAACATTTTTTGGCGTTGGATATTTGTCACATATTTATTGGTTCTTCATTACTTTTATTATCTTATTTTGCTCTTCCTAGTCAGTTACACTTTTGAAAATGCATCATTACACAACATATTTTATTAGCACAAAAGTTCACAATACACGTTACGTTATTTGAAACTTCACAGCATAGTAATACCATACATATATTTAATAAAGTCTATGAACGTTATAATATGTGCGAAATATAATATAGAAACCGACAATAAAATGCTGTAGTTGTAAATAAATTTAAGACGAGGTCAAAATAATTTGACACACTAGCTTTACTACATGCAAAACAACCAGGCGGATTGGATTCTCCGCCACGTGAGAGATAACAAGGAACAACCAAGACTGTTTTACCTGCTTTCGCACCAGCAGTAGGATGATGGGAAGCTCCCCCAGACTTGCTTAACGGTTTACGACATATGAAGTGATTCTCACGATTTATTAACGCCTTACCATCAGTCTCGGACTGGACGAAAATCGAACTGACCGGAAATTGTATTCTAGATTTATATATAAACTGGAATAGATTTGGGCTACAGCGAATGTCAACAAGTGGGATGAGGTAAATGGTCTACGGCTGCTAAAAGCTGGAATGCATAAAATATGCCTTCATCTACGGATAGATACATTTTTATTACCAGTAGTTAATGAAAATTTATTATTAATAAAAATATTGTATAAATATATCCTCTTGAAGTTACTAAATGAAACGTTTCGAAAATAGTATAATATATTTTGAATAGTGGAATCGTCCAAGATTTCTATAAATGCTTTTCAAGAATGTTTTCTAATTGAGCAGATATGCAGATACAGGACGTAAAAGACCATAAAATAAGGTTTTTGTTTAACTTTCTTACCAGTTCAACAGGTGCATTAGAAATCAATTCAGAATTTGAATAAAAAAATCTAAGTCTATTTACTACTGCCCAGTATGTCACTGGAAAAATGCTGATAATAATCACCAAAATAAAAAAAAAATATCTTTGAGCTCATCCTCAAATGTCTTGTGAAGAAGCCACAGCACTTTCAAAATAAAATAAAAATTAAAACTGTTTTTTTTTCATAGCTGTTAACAAAATCCAATATTGATCAAATTTTACCTATAATTGACTGGTACATACGTATACAAGGTGTTATTTAATTCCATGTCACACTCCTGGGAAGTGTTTCTTGTGTAATTTTAAGAGAAAAAGTGCAAATGGAACATTCAAAATATGATTCATAATTGTTTTTCAAAACGAAAAAATATCTAAATATGTATAGGATTTCTTTCGTTCTAAATTTTATTTTAAATTTCGAAAAACTCAGTATTGTAGAAATAGTCCTCAAGCCAGCGACCTTTTTTCGAACTGATTACAATAGTCATGAAAACAGTCAGGATCGCTTCGTTTTAACGAGTCTACCACGCTGTAAAATTTTTAGAATATGGGAAGGGCGCTTTTCCGCACTGCGAGTACTTAAACCTGTCGTTCTGGGCGGGTTCTCTTTTGTGATTACAACACTCAAATTTTTTATTTGAATTAAAAGAAAATGTGTTAAATAAGAAGCAAATTGGGTTGTCCGACAAAATAGAGGGCGCAATTGTCGAGTCCGACATCTCCAACATGTCGCTCTAGCGCGGTATGGTTTTCCGATTACAAAACACCCAATTTTCATTTTAACTTACTAAAAATTGCCTAAAAAACGTAGTCCATACCTTGTCCGACAAATTTTCAGGCGCTTTTTTCCAGT